GCTGCCTCCGTGCGGCGAGTCCCCGGGAACAGCCCACGGCACGGGCGCCGCTGAGCACCGACGCGCTCGCCACGCGCCCTGGGCCCGTCCCAACCTGCTTCCCTCCCTGCCTCCTGCTCCCCTGCTTGCCCTCCTCCCTCGTTGGCCTTGTCTGGAATTAATTCCAGGAGTGATTAATTACCAATTCATGTCCAATCTGAAATTCATTATTCATTTTTCTCGCTGGCTCCCCAAGGTCCTCTTGCAGGGCCGGGATAAAGCGAGCCGGCAAGCTCGCACGCGGCGGCGGGGAGATAATGGGATCCTTCCTAATTACCCTAAAGACCATTAACGGGGCAGAGATTTCACCCAGGAGCACTGGGGTCCTTATGGCACCGCTCAGCTCCCACCACCGGCCACGGCCAACCAGGCTGCCGGCGGTGCCACGGGGACGTCACGGCAAAGTGTCCCGTGCCCAGCCTGGATCCGCGCTGCTGGCGGAGCAGCTCCCTCCACGGGGTTGCTGAGGAAGGGGAAACCGAGGCACGGAGAGGGGCAGGCTGCCCCCGAGCGTTAGCACCATCCTCCAGCGGGGCGAAGCTGGCGGCGTCCTGCCAGCGCGGTGGCACCAGGGACCATCCTCAGCACCTGCTCCCGGCGGACACAGGACCGAGATCCTACTTTTTTTCCCCATTTAGCCATCGCCCCCATTCTGCACCGGCGACCACACATTCCCAAGGCACCAAGGGCCCCGCTCTGGCCAGGATGCTGCACGGGGGCCAGACCCCCGTCCCGTCACGCTGCCCTCCCCATGCTCCACCTGCTCCATGTGTCCCTGCGCTCTCCACTGCTTTCCCCACATTCCTGGGCACTTCGGGACTGGCTGACAAAAATGCGCAGTTAGGGGTGTAGAGCCCGAGATTGGCACGGGAGCACCGGGCCGGCGTCCCGGACCCCATCCCGGACATCCCGGACCAGCATCCCGCAGGGCCAGCGAGCCGCAAGGGCTCCGAGCGCGGCCGCCTTCCCCTTCCCGGGGCCGCCACCCGGCAAAGGGCTCCCCCAGATGCCGATTTCCATCCGCCGGCTCTGGCGACCTCAATGCCGAATCCTCGGCTTCTCATTACAGCAAGAATTTCGATGTGAGGTTTGCAAGGAATTAATTACTGGAACGACCTAATTAATTGTGTTCCTGCAAGCTAGCCTAGCCCCCAGCGCCCTGTCGGCACCGGGGGGAGCGGGGCCGCCGGGAGACACAGCAGGGACGTCTCCCCCGGCCTTGGCGGAGCCGCTTCCCAAAGCCGCCGTGTCCCAGAGCCGCCGCGTCCCCAGAGCAGGTGCCAGGGTGGCTCAGCCTTGGGCTCTTTCCTGGGAGGAGGAGGAGAGATGAGGAGCAGCTGGAGAGGGATGAAGATGAGCGGTAGAAGGAGCAACAGTGTCTCCCTCTCCATGCTCTGCACAGAGGGATGCTCGGCAGGAGAGGACAGGGAGCTCCGGACCATGATCCTCACCCCCACACCCGTGCTGAGCAGCAGGGTTTGACTCTCTTCTCTCCACTACCTTTGCAAGGTGAGGACAGAGAACATCTTCCTATGGATTAAATTATCCAAACTGGTGCCACACGCAAGCTGAAGGCAGACACAAAACACGGGCGACACCAGCTCTGCCAGGACCAGCTCGGCCTGTGGCCCAGCCTGCAGAACCCGACCTGCGTCTCTGGCCAAAGGAGGGCTCCAGCCCTCAGCCCTCCCTACAAGGAGGAAGCCAGGCCAGGGGCGGCGCGGCGCCTTCCAGACAACGTCTTCCCTCGCCTGTCCCAGGAAGACAGGCCAGGGCTCTGCAGTTCCACCCAGCTCCGTCTCCCTGTCAGCCCCCATTACACCCAGATAACACTGAGGAGAGCAGATCTCTCACCCCAGGCCTCCGTGACAGCAGGGAGAAGCAACTGTCACCACGATGGGCGCAGGCCTCTGATATCCCATCTGCTGGAGACAAGCTCAGCAATCCAGGCACCTTCCTGCTGCAGGAACAAGCACTACGAAGGTGGACTGGATGAGCCTGGGGCTGCAAAACTTGAGCATGAATTCAGTTCCTACAGCTCCTTCAGCATTTGGTGCGCTGGGAGGAAGAAATATCTTCCTCTGGCTCTGCACTCCCTCGGTGGAGAGAGCTTTTCTGGCAGAGATCTTCCTGCCGCATTCATAAACATGTGGGAAAAGTTCTTCTTCCAGGAAACAAACCCAGGCAGCAGCCGGGCTGCCAAGCATGACAGCTTCTGATCTGTCATCTGCCTCGGCCCAGCACGTCCAAACCGCGACGTGGACTCACGCGGGGGATAGGAGGACTCCAGCTCCGTCCCTGCTTGCAGCTGCCCATCACAGCACAGGGAAGAGCATTTCCAGGATGACCCTTCCAGATGCTACGAGGAGGAGCCTTGGCACTGCACATGCAAAGGAGGTGGTTTCTCTATCCTTGCTGTCCCAGACATGCGATGGGGGAAAGCAGAGGTTAGTCCCAGTTGAAATCAGCGCCAGGGAAGCAGAAACCCTCAACAAGCCACACAAAGGCCAAACACGAGGCAAGATACGGACCCCAACCTGCCTTCCACCACCCCAGCTGCACCCCTCCACGCTCACAGCTCATCTGGGATCACTGGCCAAGCGCCGCCTTCCTCGGGTGGCTTCCAGCATTCTACCAACCCCCAGAGAGGAAGCACAAACAAGCCGAGCACCCAGCCCTCCTCTTCCTCGCTGCTCTGGGAAGGCAAAGGCCTGGGGAGGATGGAGCGTTTCCTCGGGGAGCAAACCTCCCAACGGCCAGGATCACGCACAGGAGGGAGGAACCGCTGTGCGACCTGCTCTGCTCAGAGCCCCCGAAGTTGTCAGCGGTCTCCCCCGAGCCCGAGCTGGCCCTGGGAGGGGGAACAAGCACTGAACCTGCTGCTGGGAAACAGAGTTCGCTTTTAACAGCAGCGCTTGGCTCCCTGCTGCCAACACGGTGCTTTCGATTCCTGCAAACTGGGTCACTCGCTGTAATCCTTCAAAGGGAGAGGGAGGAATAAAGCTGGAGCAGAGCTGGGCCTCGTACCCAGCACGGGGCACTGCGCGGGCAGAGATGCCCGGGGAGCTGGAGCAGAGCTGCCTTCCCGACCACGCTCCGGTTGGAGGAACGGCCCGGCTGCAGCGCGGCTGCTCCTACCCACCCTGCGGGAAGAAACGGCCCCTTCCCGCCGCACCGCGGCCCCCCGGAGCCTCCCACGGAGCCGGGGTTCTCCCTCCGACCCCGGGGTGTCCGCACTCGTCCCAGCCCGGTCTGGGATGCACTGGATGATACATCCCTGAGCAGAGACTGCGACAAGCGCAGCAGGACAGCAGCCCCACTGCACACATGACAACACCAGCCACAGCTGATCACATACAGGCTCAGAGCAAAGGGGTTTTGGAGAAGCCAGACCCGCGGTAACCAAGCCCTCGGTGCAGATGGAGCAAGGAACCAGCTTCTTCCCAGAGACACACGAACATCTCCAGGCTGACGGTGACCGGCACACCAGGCGGATGGGATCAGCGCAGGGCACGGCACATCCGCATTGGAACAAACGGTTTTCCCTGGGGAGGGCAGCGCTGGGGGCACCGGGCCAGGCAGAGCGCGGTGTGAACATACACAGCCGCAGCAGATCAGCTCCCACCCCAGGCTCCAGAACGGGCTGAACGGCTGTTTCTGCACCAGGGAGAGGTGCAGGGGCTGAGCCCCGGCCCACGCCGAGCTGCCGACAAACAGCGGGGAGACGGGATATTCCCCAGGAGGGGAGCAGGACAGGGTGGGAAGGAGGAGGAGGATGGATGCTACAGCAGCACTGGAAGAGAGGAGGAAAACACAAGCAGCTGGCACCACTGAACAGCAGCCAGGAGGGAAAAGGCTGTGCAGGAGGGACAGGGCGAGGGCTGGCACCTCTACCTTGTTTGGGCAGAAGACGGAGTGGACACAGCGAAGCAGATCTTTGGTGTCTTCCCCTTGTGGGTCTCCACAGATGACAACCTGTCGGGAAGAAGAGGGCAGAGGTGGAGACCCCGGCAGCACCTGCTCACAGGGGATGTTCACACAGCCCTGGGCCTCCGTCCTGCAGCACGTCCAGTCTCTCTGGGCTCTGGGGCCCAACAGTTTCTGGTGTTTCACCCAGGATCCATGGATCAGACTCCAGCATAGACATAAAGCCACCTGTGGGGCTACACAGAGCAGAGGCTCAGTACTGCTCATGGTGAAACACAGAGGCTTTGCAAAAAAAACAGTTCAGGGAAGTGCAGGGCATCTGCACGCAGATTATGAACCTGAATTGGAACCGGCTGAGGAAGCTGGAAGAGAGACCCACACACATGCCAAAAGCAGGGCCCCTAGTCTGGCCTCCTGTGAGCATCGAAAATAAGCCCCATATAGCAAAGGCTTTAATGACAGATGAACGCCACCTTGTCGCTCTCCCACATGCTCTGAGGCGGGGAGCTCAGGTGGTGGAGCATGTGGTTACAGGGCAAACGCGTAGGTAAACGTGTCTGCTTGGTGCTCCCTGCCCAGGTGAGTTTGGCCCACAAGGAAAGACAAGCACGTGAGCCCCAGGCACCCCACAGCCTGGTCCCTACCTGCTTGAGGGTGTGATGGAAGGCAGCGCTAGCACGGGCCATCTCGGGCAGGGCTATCGGGATCTTGAGCAACCTCTCCGAGAAGGCGGCCAAGATCTGCCCGGCTTTTTCCACCCACTCCATGTGGCCGGAGTAACAGGCTGCTCGGAGCAGGTTCATGACGGTGACGGAGTTGGCGCTGGGCTCTGCTCCGTCCTGGTCTGCGGGAAGAGAACAACCCCTCAAGTCAGCCCAGCTGCCCCATGGTTTGGCCCTCCAGGCAGACATCAGCCCTCCCTTCCCTAAACTGCCACCCCGCAACCTGCCTGGGGGGCACATCCCATTCCCGGCCCTGGAGAGCAAGGATGGGCGCCCAAACTCACCGTCCTTCAAGCGGAGGAGCAGAGAGGGATCGCCAGCCTCGCTGAAGAAATACGCAAAGCCTTTGGGGTCCCAAAAGAGCTTGTCCTGTGTGTGCTGGAGCTGCAAGGCCCACTCCAACCAGCCCTGGTCCAGCGAGGCCTCGTACAGGTCAAAGAGAGCCTGGATGACAAAGACGTAATCCTCCAGGAACCCTTGGATGGGCACGGCGCTACAAGGGCGAACAGAAGGACCATCAGGGTCTCTGTGCCAGTCAGGAGGGCAGTGGCCTCCAACCCCTTACGAGTGGATAAAGACACTGGTTTCTGCTATTTGGGAGTCAGAGGAGGAGAAACCACCTCGCCTGGCCCTTCCCTCAGCCCAGTCCAAGATAAGCAGCGGTTGTTGCAAGTCATCACACCAATTAGCCCTAGGATCCTGGACAGGGACATAAGCAGCATGGGAGAACAGGGAAGGCTCCTATCAGCTGGGAAAGAAGATGAGAGAGGGAAAGGAGAGGATTTGACCTTAATTCCTCCTTGCTCTGTTCAGAGCACTAATCCATCCCCAAATACACGCACAGGAGGCAGCTCTGCGCACGGCAAACAGCCTCTCCCTTCGTGCTCAGCCTGACCTGGAGGATGGGAGCACGGGGACCACGGGGCTGCCAGGGCAGCGGCTCGAGGGTGCCCAAGCAGCTCGGGGATGCTCTGTGCCTCGGCTCACCCCTGCTCCACGGCGTTGTCTTCGCCCCGGTAGCAGCTCCGCAGCAGCCTCCCGCTGGCAGCATCGAAGAGGTGTCTCTGCAGGAAGGCAGCGGCCCGCGCGGCCCGACGCACGTACTCCTCCTTGGCCAGGACTGCCCCAGCCTGGGCAAAGCCCGAGATCATCAGCCCTGCACAGGCCACAGGGACGGGCTCAGGAAGAGGCCGCGGTGCAAGGGACTGGCTGGAGAGTCACAACCTTTCCTTTGAAGGATGCTTAGGATGAAGCTCATCCTCCCTGACACTCATGGAGGGCCAAAGGCAGGCCAGAGCGCAGCTGTCCTGTCTTACTGTTTAGACCATTAAGAAAGTCATTTTTTATCAACGATGAGAAAGTAAGAGCTCTGAAAGGCCAGCAAGCGCTCAGTTGTTGCTTGTGGGCAAAATCATGGCCTAAGAGAGCCCTCCTGTTTGTGGGACTTAGGTATAACTGGCATAACTCCAGCTCATACAGTCCCCCAAACAGCCACACTGGGCACCTATGGCTAGGACAGTGCCTGGGGACGGTGCAGTTACTGGCTGCTGTGGGGCACGGG